GGTATTTTTATTTAATTATTTCCAATTACTATTTCGATATATTAAAAAAAATATCAAAACGACATATGCTTATTTCGATATTTACATGACAACTTGAGGCCATCTCTGCTTCCGTTGTTAGCTCCATAAGGAAGCATGAATAGACGTGTGTTCAAAAGTTGGTTCACGACTTCCGCATTCACACAAAAATGTTTGGCCAATTTTAATTGTTTTTGTAAACATGTGAATTGCGAGTTGGAATGTGTAATATCTATCAATGTCAATTTGCCAAGGTGTTTAAGTAGATATGCATGTATAATTATTATAGACTCAACTTAATTAACATTCTTATTATTTATTTATTCAGAATATAATAATGTGTCATGCGGACAATAATCATAGTAAGATACAGAGAACATAAAATTAACGAAAGTAAAATAATAATCAAAAACTATGTACAATAAAAAATAAAATAATCTAAAAATAATTAACTTAAAAACACAGTCAGACATATATACAATCAGGCAGGGAACCCCAAGCCAGGCTTATCCCTCAAACTATAGAGTGAAAAACAGGACTCCAAGACTCCCTGAGGCTACTCTCTCAACCGCGTCACTGCTGCTAAAGCCAGTTGAGATTGAGCGAAAGCGCTTTAACCACATATGTCTTGAGTGGAGAATCTGACCATTGCCAGAACTCCAAGATACATACTACAAAAGGTCTCTGGGCCACTGCCGCTTCAACCATCGAGGAGGGTTGTAGGGATGAGTGGAACTAGATAGGGATTGGGCTAGGGGATTTGGATGATTGATAAGGTTCTGATGGAATTTGTTAAATTTTTCAGGGATAAGGTCAAGGACAAATGGAATATGAGGGTTTTGTTGATTACATAGAACGGAGCATCAACTATAGTTCGGAGAACTTTGGACTGAAAGAATTGGATTCGTTTGATGTTAGAAAATTTTTTCTCTCACAAAGTTTAAGTCCGTAGATCCAAATAGGTTTCAGGATTGTCTTGTAGTTCAGTAATTTGTTGTTAATTTCTTGTGTTTTAAGTATAGTATGTGGGTTCCATGTTAGTCTTCGGTTTAAGAGAAAATATGCTAGTTAAACGAGGAAATATTCCTAAAAATGGGGTATCAACAGTATAGTTGAATGATGATAAAAAAAAATCGCGAACAATTAAAGATTTTTTAATAACAGAACTTGGCTTATTTTAGCCGCTCAAAAGTGTTCTACCAATGACAAACTCCACTTTTATTTAGAATAAATTTTGTCCAGTTTATAGTGAAACAATTGCTATTTACATAAATTAAAATATTTCTGTAGGTATTGCTTCCTATTAAACAAAACATGTGACACTTAAAACCACAAAAGTTTAATTTCCTATTTTCCTGTTTTTTTTCTATCATTCTTCAACTATACAACAGGTACTCCACTTTTAGAAAATATTCCTCGTTTAATTAGCTTTAAGTAAATATTAATTTAGTTGTGCTTTATTAGGCCAACACGTGAGATTAACCCCAAGTTAAAAAAAAATATGTGATTTCATATCCTGCCTCCCAAAATTATTCTGGTTTTCAGCAAAAATGATTACAATGATTGTTGCAAAAGCTTTTGTTTCTCGTTTTTCCATGATTTGGCATGTGTTATGACAAATATACTAACCTAAATATACATATTAGTTCTAAAAAAATAGGTTAAAAATAATGATTTTTCAAATGTTTTTTATGTAAAGTGGTTTAATAAACTGTGTATTTTATTAAGATCTCTATTACAGGAATTTATCTGTATTTATAAGTGTCGAAATAAATATTTCTATACCACAAATTTACGTTTAAAATAAAGAAACTTGAGATAGCTTCAATTATTTTGATGAAAACGTAAATATTTGGATCAGGAATATTTAGTTTGTCACTTATAATTCCTATGATAGAGATCTAAGAAAAGCACAATATTTATAAAAATAATTTAAATTTTTTTTTTATAAATAATAAAAAGTTTTTTACATGATTTGAGTTGAATCTCAAATTTTTGCCTAATAAAACTTAGCTTAATTAATATGAATTTAAAGCTTCTTATAGGTATGACTGTGTTTTTATGTTTTTAATTTACTTATCTTTAGGTTATTTTATTTTTTATTGTAGATACATAGTTTTTGATTATTATTTATTTATTATTTTAGTTTTTTAATTTTATGTTTTCTGTATATATGGTGTGAATGTGTACATATCTCACTATAATTATTATCCACGTGACAGGTTATTATATTTCTAAATAAATAAATAAAGCTTATTAAACGAGGAAGTTTTTCTAAATAGGGGATATTTGTAGTTTAGTTAGAGGATGGCAAAAAAAAAAAAAAAAAAAAAAAAAAATGCCAATAACTAATAGCTTATTAAATGGCTGTATCAATGGAAAAAAACTACTTTCCTTTAAATTAAATTTTATCTCATTTACAATAAAGCAATTTTTAATTACTTAAATTAAAATATCTCTTTAATTATCGCTTCCTATTCGACAAAAAGCATGACAATAAATAAAAAACACAAAACAAAAATTTCCTACTTTTCTGCCGGAAATCGTACAATTGTTTATAAGAAATCTGTTTTATATTTTTTTCGATGACCTGGGATGTATAAATGATAAATAGAAATGTATAAACACACTTTTTATTTCTGAAAAAAACGTTTAAAAAATGATTTTTCGATAATTCATCATCTATAAATAAAAATATATTTTTTAACTAAGATCTCTATTAAGGATTTATAAGTGACGAAATAAATGTTTCTAATCCTAAAATGTACGTTTCAAATATATAAACCTGTTGATTGCTTCAATTATTTTCATGAAAATTTTAGGACAATAAACATTTAGTTTTTCACTTATAAATACAGATCAATTCGTATAATAGAAATATGGGCGAAAATCGCAGTTTTGTAATCACTTTAACAGAAAAATATTTTAAGAAATCATTAAATAATGTTTTTTTAAATTAAAGGTGTATTTAGGTAATTATTTTAATTATGATATAATAAAACGTAGAAAAATATGAAATAAATGAATAAACTTGAATTGAATCTGTTGAGTTCTTCACTAATAAACTTTTAATTAATTAATATGGACTTAAAGCTTATTAAACGGGAAAGGTTTTCTATAATTGGGGTAACTCTAGTATAGTTGGATGATGATAAAAAAAAAGGAAAAAAAGAGAATAATTCATGATTTTTTTTTAAAACAGAACTTAACTTAGTTTAGCTATTCAAAAGCCCTCTTTAAGTGGTTTAACAATGGTAAACTCTATCTTCATTTGAATTCAATTTTGTCTAATTTACAGTGAAGCAATCTTTAATTATTTAAATTAAATATTTCTTCAGTTATCGCTTCATATTCATAAAAAAATATGATTTACTTAAAAAAATACAAAACTTCGATTTGCTGTTTTTCTGCTGAAAATTGGTCCATTGTTTGTATAAACTTTTCTGTAGCTCTTGAAGTCTGAAATCACTCCTACGGGACATCCTGTATATGATGTATTTCAATAATATTAATAATTAAAATTCACATAATTTATTTTCAGCCCTTTTGTTTTATATCATGCTTCTTATTTTTTAAATTTATTTATTCATACTGTTAATATATTCGTTCATTATTATTTAATTTTTTCTTAGCTTACTATTATGCTTATTTTTTCACTATTTTTTTGTCTATAGGTCAATATAATAAACAATAAATATTCAGTTTTTGATTATTGTTTATTAATGAACGTTTCTCAAGTTTTTGTCTAATAAACCTCAACTTAATTAATACAGACTTAAAGATAATTAAATAAGGAAGTTTATTCAAAAGTGGAGTAACTGTAGTATAGTTAGTTGATAGAAAAAAAAGAAATATCAATAATTTATAATTTTTTAAAAACAGAACTTGGCTTAGTTTAGTCACATCTCTTTAAATCATTTCAACAATGAAAAACTCTATTTTTCTTTGAATTAAATTTTGTCTCGTTTACAATGAAACAATTTTTAATTACTTACATTAAAATGTCTGTTTAGTTATTGCTTCCTATTCGATAAAAAGCATGACTCAATTAAAAAAAAACTCAAAATACAAATTTCCTATTTTTCTGCCGGAAATCGGACCATTGTTTACGAGCTCTAATTTTTTATTATATTTTTTTGCGATGTATAAACATACAACATAAATAAATATCAATGAATAAACACACTTTTTATTTTTTTTAAAAAGTTTAAAAAATGATTTTTCGATAATTCATCATCTAAAGTGGTAATAAAAATATATTTTTTACTAAGATCTTTATTACGAAAATTGATCAGTATTTATAAGTGACGAAATTAATGTTTATAATCCTAAAATGTACATTTAAAATTAATAAATCTGTTAATTGCTTCAATTATTTCTATGAAAACGTAAATGTTAGGACACTAAATATTTAGTTTTTCACTTATAAATATGAATCAATGATAGAAATATGGATGATGAACAGTTTTGAAACCACCAAAAATCATTTTTTAAATTAAAGGTGTATTATGCTTATTATAATACATTAAGACATAGAAAAATATGAAATAAATGAATAAACTTGAATTGAATAGTTTATTTAAAAGTGGAGTAACCGTAGTATAGTTGGATGATGGTAAAAAAAAATCGCGAATAATTCATGATTTTTTTTAAAAACTCAGATCAGCTTAGTTAAACCGTTTAAATGGTTTTAACAATGACCAACTCTATTTTCATTTGAATTAAATTTTGTCTCGTTTACATTGAAGCAATCATTAACCACTTTGTTTAGTTAATCCTTTCCTATTTAACAAAAAACATGACTTATTTTAAAAAATACAAATCTTGGATTTGCTACTTTTCTAATAAAAATTGGCCCATTGTTTATATATTTTTTTTTTGTAACTCATCAGGTCAGTTATTACCTAAAAAAATTCCTCTCTGTTTACTGTACACTCTGTATAATACACTTAAGAAATATAATTACGGTTAAGAAAACTTACCTCGTTTAACGTGTATCCTTGATACTTAGTGAGCAGGGTGAATCTTCCATCACTTCCTAGTGGAGTCCGAGCCGGTACGTTTTGGACACCCCTCCTGTCCCAGACAGAGTAGACAGACGTCCACCACTTGTAGACTAGGAAGAGGACGACTGCAAGAAGAAACACGACGAAGAGCATCTCTAACGCTCGCTACGACTGCCGGCAGCGATATGACGACCGGCTTGCTCTGGCCTCAGCTTATAGTGTTCGGGAGGGAATAGCGCCGCATTCGATGGTTGCGCAACTTCTCGAGCCGTGCGGTATCTTAACGAGAAGTGGCCGTGTGTGTGCAATATTACTAATAGCAATATAATATAAATAATATATAATTTAATAAATAATATATATATAAATAGACATTAGAGGATCCAAGATATAATTTTTTTTGGGGGGGGGGCTTCAACCCGAAAGATTTTTTTTTTTCATACACAAATAACGATAATTAATTTGAGAAAAAATTAAAATAAATTATCTGCCTATATGAAATGGTGTTTAAGTCCTTGAAATCCTATTAAATGTAATTACAGGAACAAGAATAAATTGAGAGATAGTTTTTAATTTTTTTTTCTGTAAAACATGGTTATATTTTACCATTTTGGGGGGCTTCAGCCCGAAAGCTCTTCCCCCCCTGTTGATCCGTCTGTGCAAATAGACAATCGGAGCATCTTAGATAGTTCTATCGCAGAATTTGATAAATTACTTCAATGTAAGGATCATTATAATATTAGTCCCCTTTTCATTAAATTATTAACATCCACCTAAAACTTCGTAAATAGCTTCATTTCATCGTAAGCTACAAATATTTTATTTACTAAAATTCTCGGAATTGTAGCGTTTTTAACCTGGAGTTCGGCAAACTTTGTCTATTTAATTATGTACTAAAAACTCGTAAATACTCATTTCCTTTCCACTTGAGTTATAATTACTTTTCTTTTCTTTTTTTTTAAACCATAACTTAATTAATATGGATTAATATTATTAATATGCTAATTTAATGAGGATGTTTTTCTTCAAACAGTTTAAATAAACAAACTTTATCACTATATTGGAAAGATATAATGGTTATGAATATAATAAAGATAACAGTAAACTATATATATTTCAAGTCTACATGAGAAATATTTAAAAAAAAAAGATGATTTTCGTTTCGTTCATCAATGCCTATCAGAAAACCAACTAAAAACCCCTTACTATTCTCTAAATGTTTATAATAAAAATACTGATATGATCAATTGGTAGTAGCAACAAAAAAGATATATAGAATATTACAGTTATACCACTAGCGGATCCAGGATTAAATTTTGGGGGGCTTCACCCCGAAAGATTTTTTTTTTCATACACAAATAACGATAATTAATTTGAAAAAAAAAGAAATAAATTAACTGCTTATATGAAATGGTGTTTAAGTGGTTCTTGAAGTCCTATTAAATGTAATTACAGGAACAAGAATAAATTAAGAGATAGTTTTAATTTTTTGTTCTTTACCATTTTGGGGGGCTTCAGCCCGAAAGCTCTCCCCCCCCGTATATCCGCCTGTGCAAATAGACAATCAGAGCATCTTAGATATCGCAGAAAATCTTTGATAAATTACTTCAATTATTGATGTAAGGATCATTATAATATTAATCCGTGGTAAAGACCCCTTTTTTTAAAAATTATTAACATCTGCCTGAAACTTCGTAAATACCGTCATCTCATCGTACAATCGTATTTACAAAAATTCTCGGAATTGGGGCGTTTTCAATCTGGAGGGGGGAAAACTTTTAATTAGGTACTAATTATATAATTATGCCCACATGTCAAAATGTGAACAAAAGACTTTGAACAAATGACTGAAAATATTATACTCCATTTTTTCCCCAAACAAATTGAAAATCAGACAAAAACTAAATACGTACACTTACCAACTCAAATCCAAATGGACATGTCCCTAACAAATTTATTATTAGGGTTCTGCAAAAAAGACGCACTTACAAACACTACAATCATTTCAATCCAAAATTTTAAGACTAATAACAGCAGTTCACTGGTACGTAAACAACAAAACCTTACATACTGACTTACAACAACCAACTATCGATCAACACGTACTCTCTACTCCCAATTTCTTCTTAAACTACACGGACATCACAACAGACCTATAACGACATGGCCACTGCTGACATGCCCATCAAGAGACGACTAAAGAGGAGCTGGATGAGAGATCTCCTTTCGTAAATTATGAAGTAGACTAGAAAAAAAATAGGTACTAAAAACTCGTAAATACTCACTTGCTTTCCACTTGATTCGTAAGATAATTTGAGCACAATATCGGGCCATTTCGCTTATATAACCTCGTTTTTTTCACAATCACCTAACGGCTCAATATTTTTGAAGGCCACGTTGATTCTAAACTACGTGCTCAAATTATCTTACGAACGAAGTAGAAAGCAAATGGGTATTTACGAGTGTTTAGTACCTAATTAAATAGACAAAGTTTGCTCCCCTCCAGATTGAAAACACCCAATTCCAAGAGTTTTCGTAAATAAAATAGTTGTGGGTTTCGATAGTCACTTTTCATAATATTAGTTTTCTTTCTTTTAATTTTTAATATTTTTTAAACCATAACTTAATTAATATCGAGTTAAACCTTATTTAACGAGGATGTTTTTCTTCAAACAGTTTAAATAAACAAACTTTATCAGTATATTGGAAAGATATAATGGCTAAGAATATAATAAAGATAAAAGAAAACCATATATAGCCAGTGGTACAGATCCCTTTTTATCAAATTATTGCCATACGCCTGAAACTTCGTAAATAACTTCATCTCATCGTAACCTAAAACTATGTTATTTACGAAAACTATTGTAATTGGGGCGTTTTCAATCTGGAGTGGGGCAAACTTTGTATATCTTATCAGGTACTAAAAACTCGTAAATACCCATTTCATATCTACTTGGATCATAACATAATTTGATCATAAAATCGACAAAAAATATTGGGCCATCTGTCCTATATAACGTTATTTTGAAATGTTGGAGGTGTAGATCACGCCAAACGGCTCAATATTTTTGAAGCCTTCCTTGATTCTAGACTACGTGCTCAAATTATCTTACGAACCAAGTGGAAAGCAAATGGGTATTTACGAGTGTTTAGTACCTAATTAAATAGACAAAGTTTGCTCCCCTCCAGATTGAAAACATTCCAATTACAAGAGTTTTCGTAAATAAAATAGTTATGTGTTACGATGAGATGAAACTATTTACGAAGTTTCAGGCGGATGTTAATAATTTGATAAAAAGCAGCCTGTACCACGGACAATATTATTTGATCATTTGATGTCCTCGTGTTTTACATTAGTTTTACACATGTCTTTTCGGGTTGAAAAAAAAATATTGGTATTAATTTTTGTATTATTTCTAAAGATTGGAATGGTGACATTAAAATAAATCACAATCAAAAGAAGAAATATCTCAACGTGAATATAAAAAAAACGAATGTTACTGTCCCTAAGGAGAGGATGCGAAGTTCTTCATACTCTTATATGACATAACCTGCATCCATTAATTTTTAACCATGGAGAAGTTTACTGTTATATAGGGGACCCTACACGGTCAATCGGAATTGCACTAATGACGTTCCGAATTGTCGTGTAAGGTATGAATGAAGTACTGATAGTGGTGCGCTGCGGATTTCCGAACATCAGGAAATCAAAGGTTCATTCACGAGAAGTGGAGGAGAGACTGAGGTAAAAGTAGTGGGCAGACTAACCATACTGCTGGATAGGTTAGGTTACCTAGGCCTCACAACCATTATAAATTTCTGATTTTCATTATATGTAAATAGTTAAATAATTTTTCATATCCCTTGTTTATAATTTTAAACCATCTTCAACTATTTCTTTTAAATAGTCAAGTGGGCAACAAATTAAAAAAAAAAAATGAGGAAACTTCACAATTTACTTTAGGAAAAAAAAAACTTTAACGTTATGTATATTTATCAGTTCTTTTCCCATTTTCCTCAATAAATTTATTATTTTCGCAATACCTTTCCTTAATTTTTGTAAGTAGTAGACTTATATTTTACTAACTTTTGTCAAAACGATATGAGACTAACCTTACTACTAGATAGGTTAGTTTACCTAGGTCTCGTTATTAAGTAAATAATTTCATAAAAGTAAATAGTTGTTTATATCCCTAGTCTATATTATTATTAACCATTTTCAACTATTTTTTCTTTAAATAGTCAAGTAGGCAATAAATTGGAGAGAAAAAAAAGTGGAAACTTCACATAAGTAATGATCAGTAATGATTGAACGTGTAAGGGTCTTCATGAACAAAGCGATAGCGGGCAATCTTGGAACTTCTTGTAACGTTCATTCATGAATTACCGTGTAGGATCTGCTTATGAGTGATGCTATTTCGAATTACAGATACAGTTTTTAGTTTTCACAAATACTTTGATTGAAAGTAGGGAAATTGGTTTGTCCCAAAAATTTGGATAAAAACGTCTTAACGAATGTTACCTACTTTTCATACAAAACTATTCATTTAATATTTCAGAAAATGGTTTGAAAACATCTGTCTGTTGCGCCATCTATCAGTCCGTGTGTAATATTGAGGCATAAAGAGCTGGCTGGACATTATATATTATTCTTCCAAAATATGCTATGTCACAAAAATAAGGCGTAATGAATGTAACCTTAATTTTACTTAACATTGTTCAATTATAATGGATGATAATTTCAAAATAAGTAGTTTCGAGACATTTAGTCACAGTCAAGACTTCATATCTATCCAACAGAGCGTATGAAAATCAGCATATATCAGCGTATGAAAATCTAACGAATATTACTATTATTCGTATAAATATAATATCATATATATATATCTTTTTTATTCCTACTATCAATCGATAATATTAGTATTTTTATTAGAAACATTTAGAGAATAGGGAATAGTTTTTAGTTTTTTTTCTGATAGATGAACGAAACAAAAATCTTTTTTTTTGTTTTGTTTTTTAACTTTTTCTCATGTTGACTTGTAATATATTAGTCCGTGGTACAGACCCCCTTTTTATCAAATTATTAATATCCGTCTGAAACTTCTTGAATAGCTTCATCTCATTGTAACTTACAACTATTTTATTTACGAAATTTATGTGAATTGAGGGGGGGGGTTCTCAATCTGGAGGAGGGCAAACATTGTCAATTTAATTAGGTACTCAAAACT